TAAGGGGGTTATCTGCCTCTGGCTGCTATAATAACAGCATCCGCTGACAGAGTAGTCTTTAAGCCGACATTGCAAAGTACCCTGAAAATGTACATGAATATTTTTATTATGACCATTTTACATATGGGAACATACAGACACAGGGAAGTTAAATGACTTGCCTGAGTCGTTTGTCAGTGCTAGCATCAGCTCGTAACTCCTGTTTGTTGGCTTCAAACTCTGCTCTCAACAGTGCTGGGCTGCCACCCCAGACCATTGGACCTAATAATCAAAACAAGACTGGGTCAGGGCAGTGCTTTCTTCCTGCCAAGAAAAACACAAGTGATTTAGGAACTCGCTCGGGCAATTCAGCAGTTCTTTACATCCAGAGTGCTGCTAAACCATCAGGTTGAGATCAAAAAGCAGACTGCTGCTGCGTCAGCCTCCGTCCAAGTGTGAGGTGCCAGGAACTGACAGCCTTGGACTCATGGAAGGACAGAGCGATGGTGATTTGGTGTTTGCATCTTGCAACATCAAGGTTGTGCCTGGCCTTAAGTGAAACTTAGAGCTTCTGTTCCCCTAGCGGGTTTCACCCTCTCCTGGCATACCTCAAGCCCCCCACAACCCTCTTCACACACAATGCTCCTTCCTCAGCTCAGCCCAATGTCTTCTACCCAGCCCCTATCAACCCACAGTCCCACTTGGCCCCTCTCTCACCTACGTGTCCTCCCTCCCAGCCCCACTGTTAACCCTGGCCACAACCTCAAACCTAGCCCCTGCATTCCCCTCACCCCCTGCCAGGCCCTGCACTGACCTCTACATCCACCCCAGCCCCTACCCCCGCAATCCACTGCAGCCTTAACATTCCCCACTCCAGGCCCAACCATCCCACCAGGCCTGATCCAGCCCAACCCCAGCCCCCGTGCTCCCCCCCACCCCAAAACCCACCCCAAACTCCCACAGACCCCACGCCCACCCTATCCCCCAGCCACCCCGACTGCGACCTCGACTCCAGGCCCTACAATTCCCCTCATCCCGTCCCCCCCAGGCCCTATAATCCCGCCCTCCCCAGCGTCCGCCTCAGCCCCTCACTCCCTCTCACCTTCCCCGAGGGGGCGGATACCTTGCGGAATAACTGACACCGCAGACGAACCAATCGCGACCCGCCTTGGCCCTTCTGGCCCAATGGGCGGGCCAGTTTCCACC